GACCCAGGGATTGAACACAGGTCTCCTGAATTACAGGCAGATTCTTTACCATCTGAGCCACCAGGGAAGCCCCAAACCCCCCATGAAGGTATATTAATACCTCTCTTCCACATGTGAGAAACCTGAGGCTCAGAGAGTTTCAGAAAATCTGCCTAAGGAGCACAGTAGAGACAGTGGGCCCAGATTCAAAGCAGTCCAACTCCAGAGCCTGTGGTCTTCCCCATCAGTAAAATGGATTGAAAGGAAACTATCCATCAACACAGAACACTGTTGGGAACATTATGGCTCTCATGGAACTAACGGGTTATTATGGAGTGTGTATATATATGGAGTGTGTGTATCGCACACACATGTATGTGTGCGATATACAGAGTTTCCATGGCCAGATGCAGGCCCTGGCCTCCCCCTGTGGGGAGGCTGGTGAGAAGTAGGGAGTGGGGGCTGGCCAGGCTCACCTGGAGGGCAGAGGAAGCGCACAGTGTAATTAGAGCAGTTCTGGCCGGGTCGCTGCTCCCTGTTGAGGCACCAGAAGCCCTCCAGGGGGCTGCCATGGACCACTTGGCCAGTGCTGCCTGCAGGTGTCCAGCTGGTGGTTCGAGCCTCTAGCCGCAGGGGCCGAGCGCACACCCGGTCCCCATAGTAGAACTGAATGGCATCCAGCCGTTCGTAGTCACCCTGCCCACCCGGGTGGTCAATGTTGAACCAGGTCGTCCACTCCCCAGGACCTGAGAGAGAGCCAGAGAGAGCCAGGTGGGAGCCACCGGGCCCCAGAGCCCCTGGTGAGCTCAACCCCTGGGAGTCATCCCCGCTACCCTCACCTGCCCCTCACTGGTCTCAGGCCCCATCACATCTCTCTGTGCCGCGTTTCTAGAATCTCTTACCCTTCTGCACACCCTGCTGCCAAAGATTCTCAGCAGCCTGGCTATACCATGTCAGTAACTTCCTGCCTGGTGTCTACCTCCAGCTTCCCCAAACCATCCCCACTCCTCTCCAATACTACAGTCAGGGTGAGCTTTCTCCATGCAGCCGGGGCCACATCACTCCCAGCTTTAACTCCCTTAGCCAGGTATTTAGGTGCTGACGAGCTGGTACCTCCACCCTCCTCTCTCTGCTCTCTCCTTGCCAGCCTGTGTGCGCTCTGGCCCCAGCAAGCGCTCCAGCATTCCTGGGATCTATCAGGCAGCTTCATGCTTCTGAGCTGTCCTATATACTTGGTCCCTCTGCCTGGACAGAGATGTTGGCCAAATACCTTTTTTTTTTTTAAGTTCCCTAACCAGGGATTGAACCCAGACTCCCTGCAGGGGAAGCACTGAGTCTTAACCACTGGATGCCAGGGAAGTCCTCAAATGCCTTTTAAAAGTAGATTTCTATGGACATTCCCAAACGGCTCAGTGGGTAAAAGAATCTGCCTGCAGGAGATGTGGGTTCAATCCCTGGGTCAGGAAGATCCCCTGGAGAAGGGAATGGCAATCCACTCTGGTATTCTCGCCTGAAAAATCCCATGTACAAAGGAGCCTGGCAGGCTACAGTTCAAAGGATCGCAAAGAGTTGGACACAACTGAGCAAAGCATTTTGTCTATGGAACCCTGACATTGTCCCCCCGACTGCAGAGATTCTCTTCGCAAGCTCAGTAAAGAGCAACCCCCTCACCCCCATGCTCCCTGCTCCAGCCACAACTCACTGTCCAGGAGGTTAGCAGGCTTGGCAAAGACACCTGAGGTCCTCTTCCCAGGCTGGACTCTTCTTACTGACTGAGTGAGCATCATCTGCCTCCCTGAGGGCCAGGAGGAGAAGTGAGAAGTCAAGAAAGTTACAGGGGTCCAGCAGGGTCCTGCTACTAGCCTCTCAGGACGTAGGGAAGCAGTGTGATGTGGGGGATGGAACGTGAGTGCTGGGTGTGGGTTCAGAGTCTCACTCTGCCATTGACTGGCTGTATGACCTCAAAAGCTTTATGCTTTTAAATTTGTTTCCTCATAAAATAGAGCTTTACCCTGTTTACAATAGCTAGGACATGGAAGCAACCTAGATGTCCATCGGCAGGTGAATGGATAAGAAAGTTGTGGTACATATACACAGTGGAATATTACTCAGCTACAAAAAAGAATGCATTTGAGTTAGTTCTAATGAGATGGATGAAACTGTAAACTATTATACAGAGTGAAGTAAGTCAGAAAGAGAAACACCAATACAGTGTATTAACACATATAAACATGGAATTTAGAAGAGTAATGACCGACCATATAAGCAAGACAGCAAAAGAGACACAGATGTAAAGAGCAGACTTTTGGGCTCGGTGAGAGAAGGCAAGGGTGGGATGATTTGAGAGAATAGCACTGAAACATGTATATTATCATATGTAAAATAAATGACCAGTGCAAGTTCGATGAATGAAGCAGGGCACTCAAAGCCAGCGACAACCCAGAGGGATGGGGTGGGATAGGGTGGGGAAGGAAGAAGGAGGGGAGTTCACGATGGGGGGACACATGGACATCCATGGCTGATTCATGTCAGTGTATGGCAAAAAGCACCACAACATTGTAAAGTAATTAGCCTCCAATTAAAATAAATTATTATTTTTTGTAAATAGAGCTGCGCCAACAATCACTGCATCACAGGGTCATGGTGCCTTTTCAAGGTGATGGTGAAGCTAAAGGGACCTGGCATGCAGTGCATGCTCAACCAGTGTGGTTCTCTTCTCGCGTTTGTTCTAGAAAATGGACCATGGGATGCTGCAAGGCAGCCAGGGCTCCTCCTGTAGGATCTGAGCCCATCCTTCTTGGCAGAATGGAACCTTACTTTCCTCATCTTGTAAAACAGAGATACTAGTTTCCACTGCACATGTGGTGGTCCAGTTGGCCTGAGGATTCCATAAGGAAACACAAAGTCTCTGAAGTACACGGCGATTGAGACTGTGAGCCCCAGACACTGCCACTTCCTGACTGTGTGACCTTGGGCCAGGTACTTAACTCATCTGACCCCTCATCATAAAGTAAGGATAATAATAGTCCCCATCTCAGGTGATTATAGGGATTAAATACGCTTCTTCATAAAATCCACTTAGAACAATGCCTAGCACAGAATGTTTGCTGAATAAAGTATTAGCAACTCCATTTAGCTCAAGACCTAGACAACAGATGTCCATTTCCCTTCTCCTGACAAAGTTTGACTTTGGGAATCCACCCTCACCCTCATAGGATCTGGCTGGAGGAGTAGACCTTTTTTTGGCCACACCATGCAGCCCGTGGGAGCTTAGTTCCCCAGTCAGGGACTCAGTCAGTGCCTCTGCACGGGAAGTATGATGTCTTAACCACTGGCCACCAGGGAAGTCCCAGTCCTTTAGTTTTCTGACCGCAGCTGGCAAAGTCTCCCTGAGGAAGGGTATGGGGACCTCTGAGCCACAGGCAGCGAGCCTCCAGGCCCGACCCACCTGAGGCTGAGTTGGAGGCTCCAAAACAGAAAGGTGAGACAGCAGAAGCCTGCAAAAGCTTCAAGAGGCAATTCACTCTCATGAGAGTCAAATTAGTATTCTCTTTGCTGCTTAACTGGCGGTGATGGTAGCTCTTTTAATCAAACTAATCTGATTTCCCTTCCGATTGCTGAATGTCAATCATCTTCATCACCAACAGCTGTCAGGGTAGAAAGAGCAAGGCAGGAGGTGGGCACATAGAGGGTTTGGCAAGATGCTCAGACAGCCCTTGTTCCTGCATCTGCAGTCACAGAGCCTGCAGTGCTCATAGCTCTAAGGAGAATTCTGAGCATTTTTTGCTTTACCTGAGTATGTGGCTAGAAATCAGAAAAAGAAAGGGAGGTGGGAGAGAGTATGCAGCCTGGTGCTGTGAGCTCTGATGCTCAGAGGCCTTGGGGAGCCCACCAGGCAAATTCTCTCCACCTGCTCCCTGGCAAACTCGCAGTCGCCAGAGAACGGGGTCCAAGGACGAGAAGACCAGAAGGGGTTCTAGTGTCTCTGTGAAATTTGGCTACAGGGTCTAAATGAATTTTCATGAAACTAAAATCAGATCTCACCCTAAATCCGGATGTGAGAACTCAGGGATTCCTTTTGCTTTGGCTATCAGGAAGCTCAGAGCTAAATTTAGCACTCAGGGGGCAGTGGTGACCCTCTTTATCTTTTATCCTCCTTCTGAATGACATCTTATCCCTCTCCTCATTTAAAAGATTCTGTGAGTTTTAACATTGGGACCTATCTCAAACCCTTTAGGAAAACAAGCAGGGTATAAACCATGAATAAATAGATAAACCAGCCTCGGGTCTTAGTGCCACGGCTATAGTTTAAGGCAGGTGCAGAGCTGGGTCCCAGACCAAATGTGACTTCCCTATGGCAAGTAGCAGCTTAGAGAGACAGGAGATACTTAGCCTGTACCCAGTGCTGAGGTGATCTCCAAAACTAGAAGGAAGAACATGCAGGCCTTGGTCCCTGCCATCTTTCCCCCGGTTCTGTGGGGAATGTGGCAGGAGCTGAGTGAGGGTTCCTTCAGAGTTGGAGTCCCTGGAATGCAATCCCTGAGAAGTTTCTCAGATCAGTGACCTGCAAAGAAACAAAACTTAACAGGTTCCATATCTCTGAGTTGATTCTGAGGTTTTGAGCAGAACTATTTCTTTTCTTTCTTTTAAAAAAATTTTTATTCATTAATTTTTTTGGCTGCACCTTGCCACATGTGGGGTCTTAGTAACCCAACCAGGGATTGAACCCACACCCCCTGCATTGGAAGTATGGAATCTTCACCACTCCACTGCCAGGGAACTCCCCAGAACTATTTCTTGACCTATCAAAGGTGAAAGGTGGACAGAATGAAGTCTTGTGAGGATGACACCTGCCCACATTGCAAATCTGGGCAGCTTGGGAGAGGCAGAGAGTCAGAATCTCATTCACACGAGGCAGACCTGAATTCAAACCCCAGGTGGTGCTAGGACCCCACCTCGAGATGGGACATAAGGGACAGTTGGGGTGAGATGTTTCCTTGCCAGTGAGGGGGTGCCTGGGCTCACCCCCAGCATCCTCTGGGTGACTCACTTCCAAGACCCAGGCCTGGGGACCTGTTTTGCTGCCCTTGGTGGGACTCACGTTCCTGCACAACAGGGCTACATATGAAGGCTGGGCAGCCCCTGCCCCACCACAGCAGCCTCTCACAGGACCGGCAAGCTGGAGGGTGCAGATGCTTCAGACACACCAGCTCCATGAACACATTCCCAGATGCGCACAGGCTGCAGAAGGAACGCGTTTCTGGCCTGCCTAGGGGTCACACAGCCAGGGCCTGCTGAAGGAGAGCAGAGGGGGCCCACAGGGAGAGGCCAGGGCCCCCCAGTAACCGTGAGTGGGGGTTAGGGGCTGCGGGGGCAGCAAGGGGAGCTCCCCTGTTCTCCAAGAGGCCTGGCAGTAGGGCCAGGACCCAGCCTCCCGCCCAATTTTCTCTCTCCCCAGACCTCTGGCCAACCCAGATTCTGACCAGTGCCTGGAAATTCAAGAGGGATTCACTTCAACCTCCGAAGTCCAGGGTGTGGTGAGAAAAGGGAGTCCTCCTCTCTGGAAAAAAAAGATTCAAAAGCACTTAGTTGTCCCAGAAGAAGAACAGACCAAGCCCTCGCTGAAGACCATCCAGCTCTAAGGCCGCTAACTCCGCTACCTGTCTCTCAGCCCCGAGAATGGAGTGCAGGGTCTCCAGGGTCTCCAGCTCTTGTGGGCCTCACCCCCAGCTCCCAGGCTCTGAGCCGAGGGCCGAGCGCTCCCCAGGGCCTGCACGGCCCTCAGTCTGGGACTGCTCTGGGACTGTCTGGAGCCAAAGTGGCTTGAGGCACCTTGTGGAAAAACCATTTCCCATCTGGCAGCCCACAGAAATTTCCTCAGCATATGCTCTGCTGGTGAGGCTCCCCAGTCCGCAGGTCTCAGAGCGCTCAGACAAAGAAGGCTGGCTGACCGCAGGAAAAAGGGAAAGTACCCAGAGGTAAGAGACCCTGACAGGGGCCCTCTGAGGGCCCCTATCCTCACATCGGGGAGGGAGAAGACTTGGGGCCAGCTCCAAGGAAGAAAGGTGAGTCTTGTCTGCGGGAGGTGAGGCGGCTGGCCGGGGGTGCCCAGGGGTAGCTGAGCCAGGCTGAGGGGTGCAGGGGCGGGCTAAGGAGAACAGGAGCGGGGCTCACCGTGTCTTGCGCAGGACTCCTCAGCTGGGGGCTCCAAGCTTTCCTCTCTCCAGCAGGCCAGCCACCGGGCCTTATATAGCACAGCTGGAGGCTCAGCTGTGGCAGTGCGCCACGGGAAGCAGCCGCGAAACCAGATCTGAGCCTGAGGAAGCTCAGCCTTCTCCTCCCCTCCCCACAGCCCCAGCGGCTTCCAGAGGCCCGATTTCACTTCCAGACCCTCAGGGGAGATGCCGCAGGGCCTGGGGATGGGCCAGGTGGGCAGCTGCCCGGGGCTCCATAGGCCAGAGCAGAGGGATGGCTGGGGAGGCAGGGGCTCGGGCGGCAGCCCTGGGGAGGGGCCAAGGGGAATTCTACGTATGGGTGGTGCTTCATGGCTCGGGGTGGTATGCTCTTGCCTAAGCTTTGCCTGCTGATCCCCAACATTCCCTGGCCCTGGCCCACCTATGCAGAGAAAGAACTTTGCTGCCCTTAGCACATACCCCGAGTTCTCTTAGGCACACGGATCACCAGGCCTCTCAACTCAGGCTGCCTTGTCTGACTGGGCAACTACTTGGCCTCTGTGGCTCTGAGGGAGCAGTAAGGGACCCTCTGAAGGGACAAGGGGCAGAGGGATTGTGGGGCCAGGAGAACAGTTTTCACCCCTTCCTGCCTTCATTTGGGTGCCTGCCTATACCCAATGGATCCGAGAGGAATCCCTGCATATGGATTCTCTGAGATCGTGCCAGATGCTCATATATGTGCGAGTGTGTGTGTGTGAGAGAGAGTGCGTGTGTGCGTGTGAGAGTACTTTGGGTATGGGCACCCACCAGCAATGAGCAGCCACCTTACACACAGGTGGCATAAGCAGCTGCCTCCCCCCACGGCATGAGCTTGCCTCTCCTCACAGGCAGCAGTTCTATAATTGTAGCATGCATTGGAAACCCCTGGAGAGCTTGTGAAAGCACAGATGCTGGACCCCACACCCAGGCTTTCTGGTTCAGTAGATCTGAAGTGAGGCCTGAGACTTTGCATTTTTTCTTTTTTTTTTTTGGAAACTTTGCATTTCTGACAAGCTCCCAGGTGATTTTGATGGGCTGGTTTATGGACCACCCAAGGAAAGAGTCCTGGGTGGAGGCCCAAGATGGGGAGGGGGTGAACCAGGGAGACCGCAGGAGTTGCCAAGGTTTGCCTTACATCCCAGGCTCAACGGGCCTAGGCTGGGCTTTCTGCCTTATGCGGGGCCTGGAGATGGAGGCCTGGCTCATGTGGCCCACCACACCAGTGTCAGCTCCCTCTCTCCACACACTATCAACGAGCACCTGTTTGGAGCAGGCTCTAGGCCTGGTACTGAGAGGACATAGGGAGAAGACATCTCCATGATTTCAGAGGAAAAAGCCCTGTATGGAAATGATCCCACAGTGCTGCAGTGCAGACTCATTCAGCTGTGCACACTTATTCAGCTGTGCGTGCGTGCTTGTGTGTATTTGTGCCTTTCTCTATAGGTACATGCCTGTGTGTATGCCATAAGTATGTATATATATATGGGCTTCCCCGGTGGCTCAGATGGTACAGAATCTGCCTGCAATAGAGGAGACCTGGGTTTCGATCCCTGGGTCAGGAAGGTCCCCTGGAGGAGGGAATGGCCAACCACTCCAGTATTCTTGCCTGGAGAATTCCATGGACAGAGGAGCCTTGCAGACTCCATGGGGCTGCAAAGAGTTGGACATGACTGAGTGACTAATACTCATTCACTCATATATATATGTCTTTCTCCCTGTGTGAATGTGTGTGGGTGCGGGTGCGGGTGCAAGCAAGGGTTTAGGAGTTCTGCTTCCCTGAGCATCATCCTGGACAGGAGCTGTTGGGGGAGAAGCAGATGGGTGGAAGAAGGATGTTGAGTAAAGACAGCCCGTAAGCAGATCCAAGGCACAGACCTGGTTTGCTTTTTCTCCTGGAGCCTCCTGGCCCCCAGATTTTGGCCCAGAGATTCTGTAGCTAGACCAAGTCTGGCCCAATTATAGTCAGAGCCAATCCATGAAGCAGCTTTAGTCTGAACTAAGTGAAGGCAAAGTGTGAACCAAGTGAAGACCCTAAGAACTCTGCTGGTCTGTGGACAAAAGCTGAGCCCCAATAGCCTGATCAAGGCCAGGGGAAAACAGGAACTTGGGAGCCAAAAGTATAGTACTGGTTCTATTGCTAATTCTGATGTGTGATCTTGGACAAGTAATGACCCACATGACCCTGGACCTCCTACGCAGCAGGAGTTCAGACTGAGAGAGCTCTGAGGCCCCCACCAGCTCTTTCAAGGTTTGATAAGATGCTGATACTGAATACAACAGAAAGGAGGGAACAGAAGAAATGACAGCTCCAAAGACTCTCACCAGAGGTTAGGCCAGAAGCCAGAGAAGTCACTTGACCACCAAGACTGGATAAGGAGAGCAAGGTAGACAGGAGAGGAAGGTGCGGTGGAGGTAAACCAGAGGACAAGAGGTCAAAGTCAGGGTAATCAACTTCTTTCCGGGGCCGCTACTCTATGGAACCGCAGAGTCCATGAAAGAGGTCTCCCCAGCCTCCCTTCTCCTTCTGTAGCAGGAGGCAGGAAGCCTAGGACTTGGCAAAGCGTAGCCCTTTAGGCCATGATCCCTGCATAGGTGTCCTTGCTTGGTCAGGAACTCACATCTCAGGCCCCATTTACCCTGCCCCAAGGGTAGGGTGGTAGGGTAAATGGCCAGAGGGTCTTGTCATGGTTGGCACAGGGCTGAGCTAGAATCCCTGGGCTCTGCTAACAGCACCGCCATTGGTGTCCTTCTAGCTCATCTCCTCCCACCTCTCCCGTTGAAGAATCCTCTTCTGTCCCCAACAGGGACTGAGCAGCTAACTGCACAGGGCTAGACTGGTGGAATCTGAGCCCACCCCCACCCCCTGCTCCCAGGATGCCTTTGAGGGAGAGGCTGCTCCTCTCCTTGGCCAGGACCTCAGGATAGTGAGGGCTTGGGAGGCGGCCACAGATCCAGACTGTCCAGAGCCTGGCCTAGCTGGGTCAGCGCCAACCGTGAGTGGCCACTTGGGGCTCCTTCAGGCCAGGCCAGTCTGCTGCAGCTCCAAGCCCTCGCCTGGAACACACGGGAAACCCATCAATCACCCCCACCCTTGTCCAGGGGATCGAGGGGCTTGGAATCCAGTTTAGCCAGGCCATCTGTGACCCAAGCCTATGGCCAGGGGTCTCCACCCTGCCGAGGGGAAAGAAACTTGGGAATACTGGGAGGGGTCTGACATCATGCTGGTGGCTCCAGAGGAAGGGATCTGTCTCCGACTCCGACCACCTCGCGTATGCGCCCATCATCGCCCCCTTGTGGCCTGAGGAGGCGTTGCAGGCCTGGGAAGGGATGCGCCACTGCTGATCCCTGGGGACTGGAGGACTTCACTGCAGCTCTGAACGACCCGCAAGGGCTGCTGACCCAGTATGTATGGGAGTCGAGATACCCAGAGTCTACAGGAGTGGGAGAGCTCACTCTCTGACCCTGTTGGTCTCCTCCCTGTCCCAGATACAGTCTGTCACTTCTCCCACCCGGTGCCTTTACCGTTCTATTCCTCAGCTTCCCATCTTCCTCCCCACCCACGAGAATGTCCCCCATCTTTCAACGCCCCACCTCAGTCTCCCTGCTCCTGCCCTCTCTGACCACCCAGGCCCACCTTGACTATTGCTTCTCAGGTCTCAGATGATAATGTTCAGCACCCTGTAATTTACAAGGCACATTCGTGATCATCATCCCATCTTCAGCCTCACAGCTGATCTGCGAGACAGGAATGATGACATCCATTTTACAGAGGGAAAACTGAGGCTCAGAAAGGTGAAATACACTCCAGCCGTGTGCTCCTCAGTGAGAACATGCTAGAATACTCTGGCTCTGCCTGCCTGGCACACACATCCTCCTTCCCACACACACACTAATTTCAAAAATGTCCCTATCTAATACAATCCAGCTATCTATCATACTGTGGTGGATTAAATATGGCCACAAATTCTTTGCAACTCTCCCATTATGAGGTAGAGTCTCTTTACTCACCCTTTTGACCTGGACTGACTTTGTCACTTGCTTTGAACAAAGGAATGACAGAAATGATACTCAAGAGATCTTGCCACCTTCACTCCTTAGGAACACTCTCCTGAGACCACCATATAAAGAAGTCAATCTGTCCTAGAGGATGACAGACCACATGAAGGAGAACGGAGACCTCCAGCCAACAGACAGACATGTGAATGAGGACATCTTGGACTTTCTACCTCAGGAGTTGCATAAGTGAGCCAGGTAAGACCAGCAAAAGAATGGCCTAGCCACCCACAGAATCACAAGAAATGATAATCATTGTTGTAAGGCACTAAGTTTTGGGGTGACTTGTGGTACTGTAATGGGTTACACACAAAGGGGCTTCCCAGGTGGCGCCATTGCTAAAGAACCTGACTGCCAATGCAGGAGACAGAGACAAAAGTCTGATCCCTGGGTCGGGAAAATCCCCTGGAGGAGGGTAGGCAACCCATTCCAGTATTCCTGCCTGGAGAATCCCATGGACAGAGGAGCCTGGTGGGCTACAGTCCATGGGGTGCAAAGCATCAGACACGACTGAGGCAACTCAGCACACACGTACACATACACGCTAAGAGTAAAAGAGCCTTCAGTTGCAAGAGTCAAGCACAACTCAGATTGGATTATACAGAAAAGGGATCTGATGGTTGTGAAAGCTGAAGTCCTGGGAAAAATTGGATCCAGGGACTCAAGTAACATCATCAGGATTGTTCTCCGTCCATGTCTCAACTGCTTTCTCTGAGATGGTTTTTTCCCCAGGAGGCTGTAGCAGAGTCTGTATTTTCCCAAGTTGGCTGCACCAATAGCTCCCATTGCACATGTTCATGTACAAGATGATTGCCTTCCTCTGCCATCAAGAACTAGGATCTAATTTCCCTCCTCTTGAATCTCAGCTGGCCTATGACTAACTTGTAACCAAGAACGAGGTGAAATTTTAAGGCTAGGTCAGAAAAGATCATACAACTTCCACTTGGGGTGTCTGCTCTGGGGAAAGCCAGCTAACTTCCCAGAGACCACCAAACTGGAGAGGCCTGGTGTCAGTGTTATGGTAGGAGGTCCCAGCTGAGCCCAGTCTTCCAGCCCTCACCATGAAGGCACCAAAAATGTGAGTGTAGCTGTCTTGGACCCTCCAGGACAGACCAGTCCATCTACTAGATGAGTGCCACGGAGTAGCCTCAATCCAAGTCATAAAAAAACAAGTCATTGTTTTTTGAATTGCCCAGTCAAGCCCTACATGAGACCCTGACCTATAAAATTCTGAGGATATGAAAAAATTGATCATCATCTAAGCCACTAAGATTTGGGGTAGTTTGTTATGCAACAGTAACTGAAACAGACGCTATTCCCATGTGGTATCTTCCAGAAGATCCAGGCTCCTTTCTGGCATGTCTCAAATCTCCCACTGAAAAAGCATGACTTCTGTGTTCCAGCAGAAGTCCTGGGAAAGGCTGTCTCTCTGGCCCCTTCCTCACCCAGTCACTGTAACCATGGGGGTGGAAAGCTCTGATTAGTCCACTTCTGGAGGTAGGGGTAGATCATCTCACTGGAATCACAGGGACTGATTTTTCCTAAAGAAAAACTGTGGTGCTGTCACCAGTAGGAAGAATGGATGTTAGGAAGCGAAAAATGACACATGCCCACCAAAAATAGAACNGGGGGTGGAAAGCTCTGATTAGTCCACTTCTGGAGGTAGGGGTAGATCATCTCACTGGAATCACAGGGACTGATTTTTCCTAAAGAAAAACTGTGGTGCTGTCACCAGTAGGAAGAATGGATGTTAGGAAGCGAAAAATGACACATGCCCACCAAAAATAGAACCACAAATACAAACCGAATAGTACAACTCCTACAGGTTGAGTAGGAGTCAACCTGAAATGTCTAACTACTAAACTTTTTTAATCCAGATTCTTTTTTTAAAAATTAATGTATTTGTTTTTGGTTTCGCTAGGTCTTTGCTGCTGTGTGTGGGCTCTCTCTAGTTACGGCGAGCAGGAGTTACTAGTCCTTGCAATGCATAGCTTTCTTGTTGCAGAGCACAGGCTCTAAACGCACAGGCTTCAGTAGTTCTGGCACATGGGCTTAGTTGCTCTGTGATGTGTGGGATCTTCCCGGACCAGGGATTGAACCCATGTCCCCTGCATCAGCAGGCAAATTCTTAACCACTAGACCGCCAGGGAAATCCCAGTGGATTCTAACTAATCTTAATACCAGTAGTTGAATCTTGATATAAAAAACCACTTTAATAGCTGTCAACCTCAGCATTTACCCTCCCTTTGTTCTTCGGCAAACCTACCCATGAATCACTTCCTCTCACCCTGTAACCCCATCAGCACTTCCCAAAAGAGCTGGGCAAAACTGAACAACTATAACAACTCCAGCTTAGAAAATGAAAGAAAAAGAAACCTTCAGAATTATGCAAGTCACACAGTAGCTGCACACACTGCGACCTGCTAGTCAACACCCGGTCTCATGAGGGTGTGCTTACTCTTCAAAGGTTGTAGGTGGGGAGCAGATCCCCTGAGAATGGGCATGGCCTGCAGATACCCCAAAACATGTCCATTAGAGCCTTGTGTAACATGCTCACTGTGTTCATGCTCCTCAAACTTAAAAAACATGTCACCTTAGGACTTCCCTGGTGGTCCAGTGGCTAAGACTCCATGGTCCCAATATAGTGTGCCTGGGTTCGATCCCTGGTTAGGGAACTAGATCCCAACTAAGACCACAACTAAGAAAAACTAACATGCCACAACTAAGAGGGAGGGCAGTCAAATAAACAAGTAAATATTTTTTTAAAAAAGGTCAGCTCACTGTCCTATGGTGCACTGACCATGGTCTCAACCTTGAGTTCACACACGGCATCTCTAGTGCTCCCAACACTTACCACAAGGTGCTCACACTCACAGAAGCCCCAGAGTTTTCACCACTGGCTGTGGGAGTCACCATGATGCTCCCCAAGCTGTCACGGCGGGCTCAGAGTCCCCACAGCATCTCCCACTCTGAGACATTGTTCTGTTCCCTGCACAAATCAGTGAGTTCACATTCTGCATGTGGACATCAGCGTGTCCCACAGTCCCCGCCCCCACCCCCGTGTGAGGGGGACACCCCCACTCACAGTTTTGTGTAGGACTAGGGGGTTCACACTTACTAGGGAGTCACGGCAAGAGTGTTCACACTCCCCTCCTGAACCAGTCACACTCAGTGTGATGCGTTTGCCCCAGCTGTTCATCAAGCTCACCCTGAAGCATCTGATAGCTGCCTGTTTCCCGTGACCAGAAGAGCCTGCAGCAGTGATGGGCACGGCCTGTATCAGGGCTGAGATGAGACAGATGTCGGGTGGCTCTCAGACCATACATGCCCAGGACCCATGGCCAATTAATGGGCTAGAGCTGCGGAAAGTTGAGTGTGAGCAGCCTCCCTCTTTCCAAGCAGAATATTTTGCCCACACACCACCCAGGCAGTAAAGATTTGGGACTCCAGACGGCCCCAGTGAACAGGCAGCGAGGGGAATGGAAGTTAGAAAGGCCTGGGTGAGCAGGCTTAGCCAGACAGTGGGGGACAGCAGGAGACAGACAGACATGGGCTTGCACGGGTCATCCTTGGTGGGTTGACTCTGTTCCCAGAAACAAAGCAGCGTTCAGGGTGGCTGAATTGAGAAATTACTCCCACCCCCAGGAGAACAATAGCTTTGAGGACAGAGTGTTGGCCAGTAACAGGAAAGGCAAAGAGAGGGAAGAAGAAAATTGAATCCCTCTTCCCATTTTTACTTTTTCTTTCTTAAAAAAAAAAAAACAAAAAAACTTATTTGGCTGCAACAGGTCTTAGTTGTGGCACACAGGATCTTTAGTTGCAGCCTACGAGATCTAGTTCCCTGACCAGGGATCGAACCCCAGGCACCCTGCATTGGGAGCTCGGAGTTTAGCCACTGGGCCACCGAGAAAGTCCCCTCACTTCCCATTTTTAAAAATCGAAGCATAATTTTCATTCTGTAAAAGCACCTTTTTGAGTAGAAAATTCTATGACTGTCTACAAATGCAGACAGTCTTGTAACCACTATCACCATCAAGATACAAAATATTTCGCTCACCTCAGAAACTCCTCTGGAGTCAGGCCCCTTCCCCATCCCCAGCTGCCGACCACCACTGCGCTGTCCTCTTTTCCTGTCATTTTACTTTTACGGGAATGGCCTATAAATGGAATCCTTTGGTATGAGCCTTTTGAGTCTACTTTCTTTCACTAAGTATAATTATCCATGCTGGTGCATGTGTCAGTAATTCATTCCTTTTCACTGTTGAGTAGTTTTCTATCGAATGGATATGCCACAGTTCCTTTGTTCATTCACCAGTTGAAGGACGTGGGTTGTCTCCCAGTTTTTAGCAATTATATTTTAGCTATGAATATTTGTGTACCAATTTTTGTATAAACATGTTTTGCACTTCTTTTGAGTAAATATCTAGGAGTGTGATTGTTGGGTTATAACTGAAGTGTATGCTTAACTTTATAAGAAACTGCCAAACTGTTTCCCAGAGTGATTATTCCATTTACTTTCCCACAAGCAACATGAGAGTTCCAACTGCTCAGCATTCTCATTAACACTTAATACTGTTAAAATTACACCTTTGGCTGCTTTTAAGCCTTTCCAATGGTTGTGTAACGTGTCTAGTTTTAATTTGCATTTCCCTGGTAACCAGTGATGGTGAGCAGCTTTCCATACTCTTATTTGCCATTTCTATGTCTTCTTTGGTGAAGTGTCTGTTCACATACTACCCCCTCACTGCAGCTCTTCAAGTCATTGATGCCAGCACCATAGAGCTTTCTCCATGTACAGAGGTCAGTAACACAGCAGGAACAAATGCCTCTTTTGCCTGATTCCAAAACATGTCTGTCTATGCCCAGATAAGCAAACTTTTTGGTGGAACAGTTCTTTTAGCTTTTACTTACAGCCCTTCTGTTCTCCCCAGGACTCAGACATGTGTCTACTGAGAAACGCCCCAGGAGATGGCTAAGACTTCCAAGCACAGTGCTGTGTCCAGAATTGCCTGTCCTCTCCACTGACTCTCAGATCTCCCTGGAGGCCCTTTGAACAGAGAGGGTTTGAATCCTCTTGTTGTTTAGTCGCTCAGTCGTGTCCAACTCTTTTGCCACCCCGTGGACTATAGCCCACCAGGCTCCTCTGTCCGTGGGATTTCCCAGGCAAGAATACTGGAGTAGGTGGCCATTTCCTTCTC